AAATGAATTGTAATTCGGTGGGAAAAGAATAAGGTGGGAATAAAGTAGGAATTCAAATTATGTTGTTTGGTAGGGAGAAATAGAATTATTGGGATTGAGAAGAAAATAAGTGGTATAAAGACTAAAATACCCTTGTGTAATAATAATAGTAATAACAACCAAGGGTAGTAATGTCATTTCATATGTTTTTCCTTTCTCAAATTCATTGAATTCCAATTCATGGGGGTACCCCATGAATTGCTAATTCAATAAATGGAGGGAATTGCAATTTTGTGGAATCGCAATTCCTTCCAACCAAACAATGTAATTGAAACATCCACTGAATTGCAATTCAATTGCAGCTAAATTACAGTGAACCAAATGCGCTGTAAGTGCACCTATAGTTATAAGTAGTTGGACTTATAGTTATAAGTAGGTGCACCTAGGTGCATGAATGTTTGCGGGAAGTGAATGTTAACAAGGTAAAATTATATGCACTTATAGGTGAAAGTAGGTGCACTTGTAAGTGATTTTACTTGCACTTCGATGTTCAATATTACAAAGAAGAAGAATATCTTGAAACTGTGAAATAAATTTGTTTTTAAAGGTACAAAACTATGAAACTAACTTTACTACTTTAGAACAATATAATTAAAATGCATTTATAATGTCCTTGACTTTTATCCTAGCCGCATAAGTATAAGACATTTTATACCAAGTTTTGATTTTTCTTGAAACATTAAAAACATAATGCGGTCATAATGACAAAACTAAATTTTTTATATGGTTTACTTCAGTTGTATGATTTGTAAGTTATTACATACGAGTGGAGTTTATCTTAAACACACTACACCCTCGAGTAGTGGCTACGGGTTTCCCTCATCACAAAAGAAAAATAAATAAATAAAACACTTTGACTCATTAAAAAAATAAAAAAAAAAATTAATATATGTTTTCAAATTCTTGATACAAAAAGTGAGATGAGTTCTACCACATATATTTTCAAATTTACTGTTTAACGTTATGATAATCATTAGCTGTGGCGGATAGTAACGTTATAATAATTATTAGTTGTGGTGGATGGTAAACTGGTACGTTATGATAATCATTAATGCTTTTTCCTCTTATTTTCATTTCACCCTTTGAGTATTTAAACTTTTTAAAAGTTTGAAAATCTTGAAACAAAAAATAAAACATACTACAAATGTATGGTATTGTTTGAAATTCTCATAAAGACAACAAATGCAATTTACTCCAAACTTAGACCTTTCAAATTCCCAAAACAAAAATTTGCTCTAAAGTCCAAACGTTAGTCTTTGAAATGAGACACCTTTGGGGACCAATACGGTTTTCAAATGACAACAAAACAAAAAGCTAAAAATATAAAAAGACCTTTTAATGTTAGACAACTAAGCAAAGTCATTTTCTATTCTTCATTACTTATTAGTCAATTTTAGACTTTTAAGGAACAATACATTAATATTGGTCATTAAATAGGGAGGTTGCTTGTGACATGTAAAAGGTTACCCAACTAGAGAGCACTATTGACTACTGGATCTAAATCTGCATTAAATCTTTTGTTTTTTTAATAATGTTTTTTTTTTTTTTTTTCAAATTTGGGCATTGGGCGGGGAGTTGAGTGCAGAGAGTTGACTGACCCAACAACCAGACAGATGCATTAAAACATTAAACAAATGGGCAAATGCTAATTTTAAATTTTTTGGATTCAATAAATTCCTGCTTTCAGTGAAGGTTTGTTGCCATTGGAAGGATATATACATAGTTAAACATATTAAAACTATATAATTTTTTTAAATTGGTACTAGGTTTTAAATTTGTGACAGCTAAGACTATTTTCACTCAAACTTAATCTTGAATATTATATATTTATATTTATATTCCAACAATTGTGGATCGATAAGATTTTACATTAGCGATGTAATAATATTGTAAAATAGTATTTAAATTTGAAATATTCTCATGTGTAATGAACTAGTCTCTTGCAATATGTTATATCCTCGAATTTGAGTACCTATTGCCAATGATTATAAGGAAAATAAGTCCAAAAAAAAAACAAATGTATATATAAAATATATAAATAAATAACGGGATTTAAATTTTAAGAAAAAATAATCTTGATCGCGAAATTGGCATGGTGCAAAACCAAGGGATCAAATTTAGTTATACTTTTTTTTTTGAATGCCATCAAATTTAGTTATACAAAAATAAATAAAAACAAAAAGAGGGTTTTCAATATGAGATTATAAACCCAAATGGAAGAAAAGAAAAATTCAAGTCGTGTGTACTCACACTCTCATTAACATCGATTCGCTACCTCTCGATGTGCTAGGAACATTGTAGCGTTAGTTTTCAAGATAAAATAGATCACGACTTAATATTTGAGCACTCAAAAAATAAGTCTGGCGAACTAGAACAAACTAAGAGTACTCTGACTTTTTCGGAAGTGATGGCAGAATTTTTGAAGAAAAGAATTTCAAGAGAGGAAGAGAGAAAAACAAAAATTTTGAAATTCTCAAAAATAGTTGCTAAAACCATATGCCCGGCCAACACCAAGTATTTCAATTGTTATGTCGTGGAACCGTGTCCACCTTAGGTGGATATGTTCTAATACGACGCAAATTGATCTTGACAAAATTGGAGTAACAGTGTCGTTAATGGAATCAATTATTATTATTATTATTATTATTATTATTATTATTATTATTATTATTATTATTATTATTATTATTATTATTATTTTAAATAAAATCAAACGGTATTTGGAATCGTTCGGTATACAATAATTCATTACCGTTCGGTTGTTCGATACGGTTCGGTTCGGAAAAATCGAACCGAATTGCCACTCCTAAAGTTAATTACTGAAATGGTCTCTTCACTATAGCAAAATTACCAATTTGGTCCAAAGTTAACGGAAGTCTAACGACAAAACTAACGGAGGACCAAATTGGTTAAGATTTTTAAAGTTGAGGGACTTAATTGATTATAAAAAAAAGTCGAGGACTAAATTGGTAATTTTGTTATAGTCAAGGGGTCATTTTGATAATTAACTCTTCAAAAATTATGAATATATAGTTTTATAATTATGAACATATAGTTCAGTAATTATGAACATAGAGTTATGTAATTGTGAATATAGAGTTCAATAATTATGGATATGAAATTCAAAAATTATGACTATATATTGTTTTGTAATTATGAAAATATAGTTCAGTAATTATGAACATAGAATCGTGTCTATCATACAAGGTGGACACAGTTCCACAGCATAACGATTGCATTGGAAGGGGGAGATCCTAAGTTCCCAACAACTTATTTATATAATTAATTAATAGTAAATTATGTACTAGTAACTACGGAGTATTTTTTAAAAGTTTACAAGCTAAGAACTATAAGTCACATTCAAAGTTTCTTTTTAGTAGTAAATAGATACGTTTATTTGCTAAAATGAATAATTTATTTACTTATTATATTAGAATAGTTTTATTATTTTATGCTATAATATAATTATTAAATTTTATTATGCGTAAATAATTTAAATTTTATTAGTTTCTTTATAATTTTTTTTAATAAAGTAAAACGTGGTGAATACTCGAGTCTAATTCAACGATGTGAGTTTTGAAAAATTTTCACCCATTGCAAATTGAAAATAAGATTGGGTTATAAGAAAGTATGACAGGGCGTTTGGTTGGAGGGATTTTAAATTCCCTTCCCACTTAATTCCAAAGGCCATTAAATTCCATAGTTTGGTTGGAGGGAATTGCAATTCCATGGAATTGCAATTCCCCCATTTTCATGGAAGTAAAATCCCATGTCCCCCCTTGGTATTTTAATTCCTGGAAAAAAAAGATAGTGATGAGTCAAAATTACCCCTTCCTTTTTTAACCTAAAATTAATGTCTAACAACAATAATGGACATTTTTAACTTTATACTACTTATTCCCTTTCAATTCCCATGTATACCAAACATTGGAATTGAAATTCCCAGTAATTCTATTCCTATCAACCAAACACTGGAATTTAAATTCCCACTTTATTCCCAGTAATTCAACTCCCATGGAATTACAATTCCTTTCCCACATAATTCCCCCCTCCAACCAAACGCTCTGTAAGAGTAAATTGAATGGTGGTCCAATGGATGCAGCAATTATACTGTGGACCGCGGTCCGTAAAATTTTGTGAACCATGGTTCAAAACAACAGACACTATAGTGTTTCTAAACTGACACTGTCTCATATATTATTTTTATTATATTATAAAATGAAACTGCAATTGAATTGAAATAAAACTGTAGTTATGTTAAAATAAAACTGCAGTGTATATAAAATGAAACTAAATGATAATTTCACATATTTGAGTGTATATTGTCCATCTAAACTATAATTATGTCAAAATGATATTGTAGTTGTGTTGAAATAAAACTACTAGGGGGTGTATCGGTCGGTTCGGTTCGGTTCGGGTGGGCGAATGGACAACCCTATCGGATATAAGATATTATTATGTAAACCCTATTTCATTCTATAATTTAACAAATCTAATGGGTTTTAGTAATTATCGGATGGGGTCGGTTCGGTCGGATATCCTATTTTAATTCGGATTATAGGATATTAAAGAAATAACTAAATAATTGAACAAAACACTTTAAATATAAAAAGTTAAAAAAATATTACAAAAGAACATACAAAATTACATGCTATGCAAAAATTACTTTTCCAGTGAATTTGCAATATTACACATTTACATGCAATTACAGATGACAATAGAGTTTTCATTTATATAAAAAAAAAACATACTAAGTTGTCATCTGCAATTACATGCAATTAAAGATCTGAATATACAAAAGTACAAAACATACTAAGTAGTAAGTTCAGTAAGTTGTCATTGGACGATCTACTTCTGCAAAAACATAGTAATTACTAAGTACATACAAATATGAAATCTGCAAAAAAAAAAAAAAAACTACTTTTCCACTTTCCAGTTTTCCACTGTAGTTCCTAGTCTTCCTAGTTCCTATTGTTCTTCTTCTTCTTCCTGTAAACACTCAAAACTTAAGCAAAGTTAGCAATAAGCCAAATTGCCAATAACAATAGCATTATTGAGCAACAGAATATAATTAGACAATTATAAACTTGGCTCAGTAAGCTTTTTATCCATATCAAAGTTAGGATTAAGGAGAAATTGCTACAACATCCCCCTTAGGATGGAGCAACATACCAGCTTAATCCCATATTTTTCAGATCATTGGTGGAAGCTTTCATCATGGCCACAATAATAAAAGTATAAAACATACTAAAATAGTAAAATGTGCCAACTTACCAACAATGAACAATATAACAACTTACAATGGCAGCAACGTAACTAATTAAATTAGTTACCAAGCTAGCTGCAAGCAAGCCTCATGAATAACAGAAATACAATATAAATGTATTTCATAATACATTCAAACAGAAACAGCAGTATAAAGTATAAAGTACAAAGTACAAAGCATAGCATTACAGGAATTGTAGCAAGTGTAGAACCACCACTCCTTACAGTTCCACTGCCACCATCAGTACCAATTTCTGCAACAAAAAAAAAAAAAAAAAAAAAGAAAAAAAGAATAGAATGTAAAAATTATAAGGAAATAAGTAAATAAAACTTGCAAGAATATTAGGCAGTGTTAAGTGTTAACAGTTTAATCATTAATGTGTTACCTTGTTCAAATCTCTCCAATTCCTCCAGATTTTTCTCAATTGATAAGGGGATATTTGGTAGCCTAAGCCAATCCTGAGTACAGACCAAAGCTTCCACAATTTTAGGAGTTAATGAACTCCTAAAAGGATCTAAAACCCTACCAGATGTACTGAAGGCAGATTCTGAGGCAACAATAGATATTAGTATAGCTAAAACATCCCTCGCTATCTTAGAAAAGATATGAAATCTTTCAGCATTCAACTTCCACCATCTAAGTATGTCAAAAGAAGTTTCCTCTTCAACTATTGTCTCAGCAAGTTAAATTTCTAACTCTTTTTTTTTCATTCCCCCACTCTCCAATCTTTGTTTCTTAATATGTGATTTTAACAAATGTTGGGGCCTCCAACTGTAGACTGTGAAAAATCAGTAGGAGTACTGATAGAAGCAGTAGTGGCAGAAGCAGGAGTAGAGGTAGCATAATCATTAAACAACTCTTTTAAGGCTGCAATCACTTTCTCATAGTAGGGTTTACCTTTTACCTCACCATACATGTGATTCATCTGTGTTGCCATGTACTCTAACTTGTCTCTGGGGTCTAGAATGTTTGCAAAGAATATCATCAAGTTCATTTTATCAATATCCCCCAATATTTCTCAAATTTAGCCTTCATATTTTCACCCATCAGTTTCACAGACCCTCCAGCTTCCACCATGCCATTCAAGAGGCAGTATAAATCAGAAATTTCAGAAAAGAAAGTGTTAGAAGTGACATATAAAGAACCTGAAATTCTTATTGTCATATCATACAAAAATTTCAAGATCTCCACCAAACTCTTCACAGACTCCTAATCAAGAAAATTAGGAACAGAATCAGACAAATCTGATTTGAAGGAACTATCACTTTCTTCAAGTGACTCAAACACTTTCTCATATGTAATTGCAGATTGTAACATAAGATATGTAGAGTTCCATCTGGTTGGAACATCTAGACACAAAGAAGATTTCTGTTCAATCACATTCCACTCAGCCAAGTCCCTAAATTTCTTAAGTCTAGCAGGTGAACTCCTCACATATCTTACAACCTCCCTTACCTTCTTCACAGAAACATCACATTGTTTCAGGCCATCTTGGACAACAAGGTTCAGAATATGGGCAATACATCTCATGTGAATATACTTGCCCTTCACAGTAGATGTTCCCCAAGACATTAATTTCTTTTTTAAAAACCTATAACAGTGTCGTTAGAGGAAGCATTGTCTAGTGTTATACTGTACACATTCCTAATCCCCCAATCAAGCAAACAGGTTTCAATGACTTTTGCAACAGACTCACCCTTATGTGATGTAATAGGGACAAATGAGATAATCTTCTTATGAAGCTTACACTCTTCATCTATAAAATGGACAATCACTACCATGTAGTTAATTCTCTGAATAGAAGTCCAAGAGTTAGTTGTAATACTGACTCTTTGAGTGTTTCCCCTAAAAAAACATTTCAACTCCAGTCTTTCCTCTTCATAAATCAGATTGATGTCCCTACTAATTGTCCATCTAGATGGAATCTTAAACCTAGGACAAACCACCAGAATGAACTTCCTAAACCCTGGACCCTCCAGAAATCTAAAAGGCAGTTCATCTATTATAATCATTTCAACCAAGGCCCTCCTAATAGCTTCCTGGTTAAAGACCCAAGTTCCTAACTCACCAACAGTACCAGGAGATACATCAGAATTTGTAATAGCTTGAAAGGTTAACAGTGATTGTCTAGTGTCTTTAGAGTGGGGGTTTTTCAGACAGCTAGACATGTGGTTTCTCAAGGATGTAGTACCATATTTTTTAGATTGACATTGATAAATTTTGGCACAATATATACACTTGCCTTTGATAGTAACACCATTACTATCCTTAATTTTTTCATAATGAGCCCACACTGGTGATCTGGACTAAACAATCTTCATTTTCTTCTCAGGAACTGCAGCAGTAGGTTGCACATTCTGTTGATTATTCGTGTCAACAGTTTGGGCTTCCACCAATGTAGACCCATCAATTGAAGATTTAGAAGCTTGACTTTCAGACTATATGATATTTTCCATCTAAGTAAATGGAATACTATCAGTATAGTGGTCAGTGGGAAACATATTGAAGAAAATCAGATAGTCACAGAGAAGTGAGAGAACTAGAGAAATCCAGAATCAGAAGACATGCACTTCCTACTTCATCATTTTTCTAAATTTCATAATTGGGACTTTAAGGAATTAACTATTAAGGGTCAAACATCCACAAACTTATAACTTATAAGTTATAAACATAGTAACATACATGCATACAGGGATACAATCACAGTATCACATTAATCACACAAAGAAATCCAGAAATCAGGAACCTATCAGCCTATAGTGTATATTCATCATTTTACTGGATTTCACCCTTGGGTGTAACACCCCGTGTTACGACCCCTAAAACCAATTAATCATTTAACCAATTATCCAAAGAAAGAATTAAATTATAATAATTAAATTGGAAAAGGCCCACCATAGTCCGTGGGCCCTCTTCTCTAAACCCAACCCCTAGTCCTAAAAGGAATAGAGTTAGCAAGCCTATAGTATTTGGGCCCTAATTAGGACTCTTAGATATATAAATAGGGGACATAGGAGGCACCTAGAACCCCCACCACAATAATCTCTCACCACATAAGAAGTTCCAAGAATTCTCTTAGGAGAAATCAAGAAAGAAGAAAGCTTAAAGAAAGACCCTTCATAGCCAAGGAATTAATTAAGGCTAAGAGGTAACCCATGTCTCAACAAAACCTATTTTCATAGCTATGATTCCCCTCTTAGGATTCCCCCATATTCTCGTGTATTGATGATTCGTTATATTGTTCTTGACGATTGGTGTTGTGATTCCATGGGCGATCTTGATAATCTTGTTGATGAAAAGGGATTCTTGATGATTGTGTGATTCTTGATGGAACCTAGTTTCTTGATGATTATGTGCCATTATTGATTGTTCTTGATGTTTAAAAAGGAATCGTGTTCTTGTTAAATTAGATGTGTCTAGAGCCCTAGGCTGTATCGTGAAATTCGTATGGTGTTATTCCTGATGTATTGGGTGGGAATTCGCATGTTCGGGTATTAATTATGTTTAGAAAAGCATGATAGGATATGTGCCGTATGTTCCCTGCTTTTGATCCGTTAATTGTCTACGTGTTGTTATCAATTGCGTTTGAAAGTGTCTAAGCATGGTTCCGGGTTCCACTAAGGTTCCCGGGGCATTTTTGTGATGAAAGAGTCAGTGGGGGGGGGGGTAGGTGGGGTAGGGGACCCGCCACCTACCCGCGGCCAACTTTGAAGTCGCCGGCAGCGGGCAGGCGACTGCCCGCCGGGCACCCGCTGCCCGGAACCACGACGCCGGCGGGTGACCCCTCACCCACCGGCTACCCGCTGGATTTTACCCCACTTTGGGATTCCGGCTTCCCCGTTTGATGTTCCCCCGACCCCCGTGGTGTCCCAACGGACTCTGTCTATCGTGCCTATGTCTAGTTTGATGTTCGGGTACCATTCGTAGGTTGAATAAGTCTTATATATATCGCATGCTAGTTGAATTGGTATCCTGTTGGCCTAGGCGTAAGAAGTATGAACCCCTTAGGATTATTCTTAGTATCTGAATGATCAAGCATAGGTTTCGTTATACGATTTCTTCCCCTCCCCAATGTGCCTATGTGTTATGTGTGCATGATACCCCAATTCGGTTGCGATCGAATTGGTTATTCCTGAGTTGCAGTTCAGAAGCTGGCTGCGGTCAGATTTACACTCCCGGGCTGCGGTCCACCGTTTGGTTGCGATCAAACGTTTTACATGAGCTGCGGTTCATATTCCTGGCTGCGGTCAGATGACTACTCTTGGGCTGCGGTCCACTGTTTGGTTGCGATCAAACATTATGATGAGCTGCGGTTCATCGGTCGGTTGCGATCGACCCCTCCGTGTTGCGATACAGGGTAGGGTGCTGCGGGGCCGTGTCAGAGCTATATGCGCTGACCCTCATGTATGGGCATGCGATTGGTCCTGTGACTATTGGCTGTGCTTATCTCTATCTGTCATATCTGTTCCCTACACCTGTGAATTGTGCATGCTTGGTTATGACTGTTGGTTGTGCTTATCCCTATCTGTCGAGTCTATTCCCTGTTTTGAAAGCTAGAGTCTCTTAGGATATATCTTCATGCTTTGAAATGGTTTTCGTATATCTATGTATATATCTTTATGTATTGTATTTCAACGCATTGGAGTGGGTTACCAGCATCTCTCGCTGAACAGATATATTTGGCTTTTAGGCACAGAAGAGTAGACACTAGAGCGCGCTAGAACCGTGGAGCGTAAAAGTAGATAGTCTCCCCTTTCGGCCTGCGTGCCATGCTTATGCTCTTATCTTGTTGAGGATATTAGTTAGTTAGCCTATGCACTTGAATTCTCTAGCTCAGGTGTGGCATAGCACACTGTACTATTTATATTATGTTTTGGGATTTAATGAGAACTTACCTTTATTATATAAGTTTCAAAGGTTTAAAAATTTCGGGGTGTTACATTGGGCCTTGGGAGTTGGTCAGTTCACAGTTGGTAGTTACAATTGGGGCTTCCACCATTTTCACCAACACAGGCAACAACCAACAAGGGCTAGGGGCTTCCACAAAAAATACAGAAAAATCATACAATCACAACTAAGTGATTCTAAAAATTCACCAACACAGGCAACAGGGGCTAGGGGCTTCCACAAAAAAATACAGAAAAATCATACAATCACAACTAAGTGATTCTAAAAATTCACAAACAAGGGACAAGTGAGTATTAACATGCAATCTGGAACTTCTCAACAGATTGACATTGTCACAGTCCACAGAATCATAGAAACCCTAATCAAAGTATCAAAAATTCACAAATAAGGGACAAGTGACATGCAATCTGGAACTTCTCAACAGATTGACATTGTCACAGTCATCAGAATCATAGAATCACAACTAACAACAACGTATCACAATCTATAAGAGTATAATCTAATTATGTATAAGATTAGGGTTTAGAGATTACTTCGTTTCTCCAAATCAAACCCCCGAGAACAAAGGGCTTCAATTTCGAGCCAGCAATTTACAATCCACCGCACCGGCCACCGGTCGTCCGGTAGATAACACACCGAATAACAGAATAGGGCTTCCACCGAACAATATTAGCTTCCACCGGAGACTCACACTCTCAGTCTGTAACTGAGTAACTCTACAACTCTAGACGAGACTCAGAGAGAACGAGAGAAATCAGAGAACTGGAGAAGAAAGAAGTGAGAACTAGGGTTTCAGATTTCAGAGAAGAAAGAAGAGAAAACGAGACTATGAGAGTCTAGAGAGTTCTCAGGAGTCACCGATAGAGGAAGCTGCGCAAATGACTAGGGTTTCATCTACAAGCCATAAAACGCAACATATATACTAAGCTTACACTACGTCGTATACCTAAGGGTATACGAAGTCTAACCCTAAATCGGGTTGTCGGACGGGTTCGGGTGAATTTTATAACCCCTAACCCGGCTACTTCTAACCGGCTAATGAGCACGATGTCGGATCGGGTAAGTTTCTTCGGTTTCGGATTCCGCCAAATTGCTTTTCCTTGGGTTCGGGTCGGTAGGTTTTGTCGGGTGGGTCGGTTTTTGCACAGCCCTAGAAACTACAATGTATATTTAATGCCTGGACCACAATGCATTGTGGACCGTGGTCCAGTATAATTTGCCCAATGGATGTATAGTAGTTACTTCCGATCTATTATAATCTCTATGTGCAGTGGCTACATTCCTACTGACCCCAATGGCTCAACCTTTACTTAGCCACTTACATTGAGATCGAGGTTGGTGCATTCGTATTATCTTGTAACTTGCTTTAATAATAATAATAATAATAATAATAATAATAATCATAATAATAATAATAATAATTGATAGATTTAATTAAATCGAGTGGCCCGAATTAATAAACTCGATAATTAAAGAATATGATAAGTAAATGAATGAATATAGTAAATAGCAAGTGATAAAGACAAGAAATATATGTCACGGAGACAAATCTCGTATTAAGAAATGTTGTAAGATGATTACATGTGAATATGTGTCTAGACAATAAGAAGAAAATGATGATGATGATGATGTCTTAATAAGACAATCATACTAGTAATTATACTTAAGAACTCCCTAACCGGCCCCTTAAAAAGGAGGAGTTGGTTAACTTCTTAGACCGCGCCCGGCCTTGTGGTTGGGCCTCTGCCTCGTACCGGCCGAGGCCCAGGTCAGGCTCGGCCTAGATGGCCTGGGTCAAGTGTGGGCCCCGGGTCCGCCCGAATCCTTCTTGATCTGCACCACCGAGTCGATTTGTTCTGGGTCTATTTTCAATATATCCATCAATAACAACAACAACAACATCAACAACAATAATATTAATAATAACAATTGTAAGTGTAAAAATTGATACACGTTAAAACCCTATTATAAGTTGGCTAATCTATTTGACAAAATAGTTAGAATTTGTTTTAGGTATGATGTATGACACATGGATCAACTCCTATCAAGGTATTATTTTATTTTTATACAGTCAAAGTTAGAGAAAGAAATTCATGATATTCAAATTAAGGGACTGATTTATTATTAAGTATGGCTTAATTATTTGTGGATGAGATTTGTTCAAATAGAGGAGTGATTAGTTACAGGCGCATGGATAGCTTTTGTTTTGAAAAGTTGGTTAAAGGAGAGTGCATATAAAAGGAAAGCTCTTCCCCTCACT